ATCCCAATTTTTTTTATTTTTTTTTCTTTTAATGTCAAAAAGCGGTTGTCCGGGATCCCGGACAACCCCCCTACCGGATGGTTGGGGGAGACGTCCGGCCGAGATGTCCGGCCATTGGACGACTGGTAACCTAGTTGCGATTAGAATTTAGGTGCGGTGGGGGTGGAGCACCGAACAGGACACAACAATGCGCGCGCAAGTAGGGAGCCACGTGCAGTTACAACCAAAAATTACGACGCTCTCAAATTCTTAGCCTAATTAAAATCCTAATTACAAGAAGAAATTATGAGAACCGGTGTGAGTTCAAAATTCAAAAAGAAATTAAAACAGATTCCCCGCGTGGTGATCGCACAAAAAATTCCCCTCCCCGCAATAGAACAAGAAAGAAGCTACGACAACAGTTATTTCCACGCTCGCTAAAGAGCGATCAATTAGCAATCGTCGGGGGACCAGCGTCCTTCAAAAAGGCGGGGGGGGGGGACATTCATGCAATTGGGCGGGCCACTCCCGACCATACCCCGAAATATAGTTACGCAGAAAGTCGCACTTCTACGGAAAGTAGTTCATCACAATGCACCTGATGGGCTTCAGGCAATGCAGACTCAAACTTGTTGCATCCGAATTCGACCTTCTGTCTGCATGTCAACAGTTAATGGCTATACACAACGGGGCCAGAACGCTGGTGTGAACTGAGAATTTTAGAGGTCCCCAGGTCGGCTCCTCCACAGTTCGCAGCCCTAAGGCTGCGGTCTAGTGGGTTCAGCGTCTGTATTAAGGTGTCCCATTTTCGGCGGCGGGCGACCAGGACGCAAAGTGGGTTGTTAGGGGGGTGGGGGATTGTAGGGACCAGTCCTTGACGAAATTGCGGACCACCTACAGCTAGCTCGGGTAGAACCGGGACTTTTGGAAAAAGGAAGGACCGGTCCTCGGGTGGAAGTGGACCCCAAAAAGAACTGGGGGGCGTTGGACTGGTCCTCGGGTAGAAGCGGACCCCAAAAAGAAGTGAGGGCATGTGAACCGCAAAAAGGCCCTCAGGCCTAGGCGTTGAGGCCCGTCTTCTCAAAATAGGGAGGTCAGGCACAACAAAAATCTGAAATTTTGAGAATCCATAGACGAGGTCGTGTTCTTTCCAGGAATAATATTACAGCATTTTCAAAAAATCATTTATCGTCGCACCGATTCGGCACATTTTCCATTTTTGCCACTCATCCATGTGTAGGCCAACTAAAAAAGTACTCCAAATTCAGTGAGTTTTCGTGCTCAGAAGAATGCGTGAAAAGACCTGAAAATTGGAGTACTCATAGATTTTGTTGTGATCTTTCTAGTAAAAATGCTCAATAAATTAAAAAAAATTCATTCCAACTGTGAAATAGATCGCGGCCGCAATTTGACCCATATTTCAATTTTGCCGTTCAGCATCTCTCTCTCTCTCTCTCTCTCTCTCTCTCTCTCTCTCTCTCTCTCTCTCTCTCTCTCTCTCTCTCTCTCTCTCTCTTGTGCGCTCTTAGTCTCATTGCTTTGGCTACCTTAGGGCTGTGTTCCCCACGCCCACACGATAGACAATAAAAAGCCTGATGTGGAGCCTGAAAATATTGGGAAAATTGCATCTGTACCCCACTTAAAGATGGGAATACCCGCTATACCCAGTCCCAGTACGAACTTGCATCTATACCTGGAGGCCGTTCAACTTTGTGTAGTACCCAGCTTTTCTCCTGTGCAAAATTGTACGTGTACCCAATCCCGCAGGCCCTGGATTCAGAGCATGAAAGTATGCTCATGCCCGCCAAGTAGACTGTTGTGGCCCAACGGCTGCTGCGTATGAGCATAATTTCAGCAATCCAGGTAGCAGGGTATATGAACAGTTTCGCCTTTCCTCCTCAGGTCCCAGGTATGCCCATAATTTTGCCTGGTATGTCCGCAGTTTGTGCATTCCCCGTAGTTGGTTATAGCCGCAATTTTGCGGTACCAACGACCTGGGTCCACCTCGGTCCTGGGCATGCAAACAATTTCCACCAGCCGTTTTCTGGGTATAGACGCAAGTTGGGGCTGGGACTGGGTATTGCCGGTATTCCCATCTTTAGGAGGGGTACAGATGTAATTTTGCGCAAAATATTCTAGAGGGATACCTTGGTGCTGTGTCTGGCAGGCGACTGGTACCGCGAGGCCGTATGGACCTCGCTCCTGACTGTGGATGCGCGACGCCTGACGAGACCAGGGGCCAAGTCCCACCAGCAGAGTTGAGGTTTCTCAACGCCCGAATCTGGATGTGTTTGCTGTTGAGGAAACTCAACGCAATTTCTGCACCACAAACACGTCCAAGTTCGAGCATTGAGGAAACTCAAGGCTGCTTGGGGGACTTGGCCCGACGAAAAATGCCAGCACGGACGAGGACCAAGGACGGATCCAGGTAGCAAACCACGCGCAAGCGCAGCGTGGACTGGGGAGCTGGGCGGGTCTGCCGCCACAACCTGCGTGACGTTGCGGGGAGGGGCGCAGTCGTGGTCTCCGGACCGCGCACCGGCCTGCGCACCCGCCCGCGCGGAGGGGCGCATCCAAGGCGCGGCCCGACTGTCCGTAGTGTCGTGAGATTCGTGGAGCGCCACGCCTTTGCATGCGCCTCCGCCATGCCCCTCACGGCGGACAGTCTCTGCCCAAAGCCTCCTGGGTCCCGCCGTGCGGAGGTGCCGCCGAGAGCTGGGCAAGGCACCTTTTCCTCCACGACCCCTCCATCCATATAGCGCCATGCCGCGCCATTCCGCGCTCCGCTAGACGTTAAAATCGCTGGAGCGGGCAAACGAGTGCGCGAGTCTCTGCCACCCAGTCGCAGCCCTTCAGGAAGGCGATACTGCTATTACCTCCTGTACACCTGCAGTAATCTCTCGTTACTCCCTCCTCCTTCACTCTCCCGCTTTCTCTCTCTCTCTCTCTCACACACCCACTCGCACGCACGCTGACACACACACAGGGCTAAAGCAACTGCACTTCTAAGGAGAGAACCGAACGCCATTTGACTGGAAAGACGGGCAAGGGTTGACATCTCGGCACACACACACACACACACACACACACACACACACACACACACACACACACACAGAGAGAGAGAGAGAGAGAGAGAGAGAGAGAGAGAGAGAGAGAGAGAGAGATGGCAAGGTCAAGGCGCGGAAGGAGGAGTGGGAGGCGGAAGCGGAAGAGGCGAAGGGGCCCAAAACGCGCCTTGCCCCCCTACATGTTCTTTTGCAAGCAGCAGCGAAAATCAGTCATCGAGGAGCATCCGGACGCCTCCTTCGGCGACGTGGGCAAAATCCTTGGACAGAAATGGCGCCGAATGTCCGACGTAGAAAAGAAGGTGATGACCACCCACTTCTCCCTCCCTTCCTCCCTTCCTCCCTTCCTCCCTCTCTCCCTTTTTCCTTTGATCTTCTGGCTATTGTGGCTACTCCATGGCGCTCTTGCCTCTACCCAGACTATCGACACGTGTCCATCTCATATTGGATTTGACAAATCTTTGATTCCTTTCCATACGTGCTTTGGTATCACCCTCGTCCCCCGAATAGAACGCGCACGGTCATTATAGCCGTATTTGGCGCAACAGCCGGTCTACATCCGTCGAGAGTGACCCCGCGTTGTATTGGGGAGAAGACGGTAGCAGACCTACGAAGAACTTCCTGTCCTTGGAGGCGACGAGTCCTTAAACACTTCTGCCTCGTGATATTACCCCTTAAACCCCACTAAACCCCCAAAACCCACGCACCCCTGAACCCCTCTTAAACCCCCAAACCCTACTAAACCCCTAAACTCTTTCTTCTGATGGGGGAGGATGGAGATGGGTTAGCATCGAAACACACTGAAGCTGGCAAACAGAATGCGTTTAGCCTGTTGAGAGCCTGGATCTGGACTTGCTTCTCCTCCCTCAGGATGCGGTCGTATTGAATGCGAGATCGTCTATCAGGAAAGATCGAATAGCCCTCTCTCTCTCTCTCTCTCTCTCTCTCTCTCTCTCTCTCTCTCTCTCTCTCTC